TGCAACCCAAGTGTCCATGGATGGATGGATGAATGAGTAAAGAAAATGTGGTCTGAATATATAAAAGAATAGTATTTGGCATGAGAAAGGAAGGAAATTCAAATATATGCTACAATATGGATGAACCTTAAAGACACTGTGCTAAGTGAAAAAAAACCAGCAACAGAAACACAAATGCTGTATGATTCCGCTTCTATGAGGTCCATAGAGTAGGCAGATTCACAGAGACAGAAAAAATGGTGGTTGCAGGGGCTTGGTGTTCAATGCGGACAGAGTTTCAGCTGGGGGTGAAAAAGAAGTGCTGTAGGTAGATGGTGCTGGTTGTACAATGTGAATGTGTGCACTTAAAACTGGTTAAAATGATGAATTGTATGTTATGTGCATTTTATCACAATACAACATTTTTTTAAAGTGCTATGTAATCATTACCTTCTGTGTGAAAACACAATCTACCTTACCCAGAATTGAGCCTTTCCACATGCCTACATATAGAAATGGCTGAATCCTGAATAATTTAAAATCCCGGGTGAATTCTTGATGTCAGTTTATTAGGTGGTTATGGTGGCACTTTGGGGTCAGAAGGAGAGAGGAGACATGGAGAGGGTGGCATCTGTATTTGAATGTCCTAAGGCTGCTCAAGGTGGAGCTGCCACCAACTGAGATAACATCTGTGCCTCTGAAATGCTTCCCAATTCTCACTGTGGTTATTACTGTTGCCCCCGTGAGATTTGTGCCCTTGAGGGAGGAAAATGAGGTCCTTCCCTGTGGGTTGATAGAATGGCCTCCCTACAGCACTTAACCCAGCATTATAATAAATCTTTATCCAGAGCTGAAGAAAGTTCCTCCATAAAAAGGGAGGAAATCAAAGACAGATGGTGGGAAATTGCATTAAACTTTTATGGGTTGTATCTTGAAATGACTTTTTTAAAGAAATAAAAGGTTAGAATGCTGAGTTATACCGAATGGGTTCCTTAAGCCAGTGTTTCTTAAAGTGTAGACCCCCTGAGTTGGTGGGAGTCTCGTAACAAGAACGCACGGTCCAGGCCTCCACCTGACACATCCTGAATCAGGATTTGGGGGGGTGGATGGAGCCTGGGACTTTGTATTATTGACAGACCGACCCCTTGGTGATGCCTATGGACTGAGTGAAAAATAAGAGCCGAGGGCCAGCCCAGTGAATTCATTAGGAAGCCTGGGGCAGACACAGCGGCCATCTGGGTGGCCACCATTTGGTGGGAGAAAACCCAGCGAGAGGGCCAGGGCACGGAGGTGTAGTCACAGGGAGGAAGCCTCCATATTCCAGAGCTCCTGTCTGCCCCGCCGTGGCAGCCTTGGGTCCTCTGCATTGTAAGTAGTTGGTTATGAATTTGTCTCCCACCTAAGACTGGGAGTTCCTTGAGGGCAGGAATTACCTGGTTTACCTCTCAGGAGGGGCACACAGTAGGCACCTGAAGCGTTGAATGAGAATCTGGTGACCTTTCTGGTTACTTAGACATCAGATTTACTTGCCAGAAACCTCTGTCTCTTAACCAGCCTGGTCTTTTTGCTGGAGTCCAGAGATGATAATTTTTATTTTTTTTTAATGCTTTTGATTTGAGAAAGAGAAGAAGGGAGAGGGAGACATCAATGAGAAAGAAATATCGTTGGCTGCCTCCTGCACACGCCTCACTGGGTATTGAGCCTGCAACCCAGATATGTGCCCTGACCAGGAATCAAACTGGTGACCTTTTGGTGTAGGGGTTGACACAAACCGCTGAACCACACCAGCTGGGCCAGATATGGTGGTTTTGAGAGAGCAGATCCATACCCAGACTGTCCATTTTAGAAGGAAAAAGTTCTATCCTTCTGTGACGGAAGTGGTTCCATGTAAACTACCTGCCATCAGGTAGTTCCCCTCACCTCACAGGATGGCGCCCCAGCAGGACGCAGTTTCTGGCTGGTCGCTCAGCCAGGTGAGTGGAAACCCATGTTGCTGAGCCCGTGCATTTCCTCACCGGGCGATGGCAGAAGCGGCCGAAGAGAGAGCCTCACAGGGGTGTCCACAGAGTGGGTCGTGCCATCCACTCGATTGTTAAAATTCTCCTCTGCTCAAGTCACCCTTTGGTGTGTGTTAGCATGGGGCACAAGTATCTTCACATTCTTTGCCCATTTAGAGAAATCGACACGATATCGCTCCCAGATCTTGTTGCCGCCAGTTTTCCAGTGATGCCCCTGACCATCCAGCCAGACCACTTTTCCGCAGCTCATGAGTTGGTATAGACTTGTCCCCGTGGTACTTCTTTTCCCAGGCAAAATGCACAGTCAGGTGCATTTCAAAGTCCTGCCCTCTGGGCACCTTCCCTTCACCTGTCCCTCAGGAATGTTTTACTCTTGCAGCATCCACTTTTGGGCTTGGAACCCAGTCTGCACCGACTCTGACGCCTCAAACGGTTGATTCTGCGACCACTGTTCGCTTTGTGTAATTGCGAAGCTTCTGCTTTAACGCCCTTCCGAGAGGCCCGGTCCGACGGCAGGAGGCTCTGTGCACCGGATACATCTTCTGCTTGGTAAGTGGGAAATGGTCCCCATTCCGGACCAGCTCTCCGTACTCGTGCCCGTGGATAGGTGTCCTGAGATTCAATTTTGCCTTCTTCTCCTCCTGACAGCCCTTAAATTCTTGAAGGCACTGCTGAGCGCTCCCTCTAGGCCCTTCCCTCACCAGCATCTCCCCCTGCAGTCATGCAGTGTGCCTTCTAGAATTCCCTTCTAGAGCTGCGCCCGACCCTCGTATGTGTCCTGCAACTCTGACATAGCCTCCAGGCTCAGAGACCAAACTCAGAGATTACATAGACTCTATAGGTTCTCAGACAGCAACAAATGGGTAGGGTTGGCTCTTAGGCAGCAGCCTTCATAGAGCAGATGTTTCAGGAGCACTTGCCCTGTGCAGGACATGCGGATGCTGTGATGGATCATGTCTGTGGACCACTGAGGCCAGTTCAGGAAGAAAAGCTCTCAGAAGCCCACTTTTTTATATCAACAGCAGTGATACGATGAAGGTGAAGTGCCTGGCACAGTGTGGGGGCCTCCCTTCCCACACCCCAAACTCCTTTGACACTACTGGGAGGTGAGAACCAGAATTTGCCTCATACAGGCCTGGGTCCTAGAATTAGGGATGTTTGCTCCTGACACCATGAATACTGGGTGGTGGTGGGCACATTATTTTCCCTGAGTCACTCAAGCTGCCTAAGACAGCACTCTTGTGTCGATGCCTAAGCAAGGTTAGTTGGTTTGTTCACCTTCCATGCATTTAAAGAGATATTTACTAACCCATTACTATGTCATCTACTAACCCGTTACTCATGTTTAGCAAAGGACTGTCCCTCCTTTTGACCTACACTCCCTGGTTCCTGAAATACAACTCATGATTGTCTGCATCTGGCAACCTCAAGATTTCTGGTCCCTTCCATACTCAGCTCTATTTAACATTCTGTTCCTTCTGTTTGTCATTTTACTGATTTCCTATGATTGTTTTTCAAATGCCGGAGGGCTTTAGGCAAGTATATATTGCTGCTTTAAAAGTATTCAAGTTATAATAGTGGCATATTGTTTTAGTTAAGCCACAGGTGGTCGATCTATCAATCATCTATCTTTCTGTCATCTATCTATCTACCTATCTATCTGTAATGTTTTAGCTTAAACACACACACATATGTACACAGACATAGACACACACACATAGATGCACACATATTATGTTTAGAGTGAAATATACACACAGCCAGCCAGAAACATCCTGTTCCCATGGAGACAGTTCTATAAGGGCTTAAAATCATTGCTTAATGTATAAAGGTATCAAAAGACAAATTCATTCCTCAGGATCTTGGTCTTTCTCATGCATATACAATAATGAAACTTACATAACTCTCCAGTTTAAGAAATTCAGTGCTCTTACCAACTATAAAAACCTATGTGTGGGCATTGAGCTGTCTGTGGGGATATAAGAAGCATTTGTCAAATATTGCTGCAGCCTTTATGCTGTCGCCAGTATCCTGCTGGGTGGGCAGTGAGTGATGAGGTGGAAGCAGTGGAGAGAGACTGAAGGCACTTGGTGGCACACCTCGGAGCTGTCTCCGCCTGTGCGGCCGTGACAGATTAATCAGTGCATCCCGGGCGAGCGCAGCCGCCAGTGTTCCTGGAGGACCGGCATGCACGTCCCCTTGCCCTGCGGAGCAAGGCTTCCGTGGCCAGAGAGCCCCAGGCCCAGGGGTCAGGGGTCATTGTCAAGAATTCAGCGCAGGGAGAAGGGGAACAGCGCACACGCTTTCACCTCTGCCCCCAGGTGACCCAGGCCCTTGTGTCCATTGCTTAGACTCATCTGAAGGAGAGGGGCGAGCTCCCAAGGGCTTGAAGGAGGGCCACGCTCCAAGCAAAAGGCTTGGAAGCGACCTTGAGAAATGCCCCAGATGTTCCACAGGGGACTCAGTTGGTGTGACAGCAGTGGCCCACGCAGCCTGGGTCGGGAGCTGGCTGTGCCCACAATGTGGTGTGTGACCTCGCTTCTTCCCCAGTGAGACGATGTGACGCTCAAGACCTGAGAGGCCCCTCCGTCTCTTCTCTCCCCCTTGGGGAGGTACCCCCTCATGGTTATTACACTTTTCTGCAATCCCCACCCCAACACTCAGAGCCCGCCTTCTACTGCGCAATGCAGCACAGAAGTCAAGGGCTCCGGCTTGAGTCAGGCGCATGAGGTTTGGATTCAGCTCAGGTGAATGGGCACCTAAAAGTGCCCACCTCCTGGGTGGTGAGGACTCGGGCTACTAGTGGCGCCCAGTAAGAGGCTGGCACATAGGAAGCCTGGTGAGTAGGAGCTCCAGGAACCCCTGTCAAAGGGCCCAGAGCGGCTACTCTCATGGGCTAGGTGGTTCCCCTCTGATGTTTCCCTCTGTTGTATTCAAATCAGGCAACAATGGGCCTCCCGTCCGGGAGGGGCCGAGGGTAGTCCCTCAGATGCTGGCGGCCAAGCCACTGGAAGGGCAGAAACCTCTTTGGCTGGACATCTGGACCATGGACAGGGATCTGAGTGACGAGGACAGTAAGTACAGCCGGGTGGTGCGGGCGCACACCTCTGTAGTGGGCACCGAGCCCGAGTGCTGCTCGGGCTCTGTGTCTGCCCTGCAGAGGGCATCCTTCCCTCCGTCCCTCCTTCTCTCCTTCTCTCCTTCCTCCTGTGTGCAGAGCCCACTCCCAGCCTGCAGGCTGGTGTCTGCAAGGGCCCCTGGGCAGTGGAGAAGGATGGTAAAACCCAAGAGGAGAACTTTTCTCCCTAAGGACTTAATACATCCAAGTCTTACAGTCCTATCCTTCCTTTCTCTGTCGAAAGTCCCCCTCCCCCAGAGCCAGATGTAAGTGTGACTGTCAGGAGTCTTATTTCAATCACAGCTGGGCTCAGCTCTTAGATGAGGTTAATTTAAAAATGTCATGAAAGGTCTTTACTCATGGTCTCCCTCTAGCAAAGAGCCGGTCTGTTCATTACCGCTCCCGAAACAGCCCGGGCGACCCCTTCCTGTCTTTACTGGGACAAAAATACAGTGGAATATAAGGACTATGTAAAGAGACAACGAAAAAAATGGTATCTTTAGGAAAAAATGTGCTATGTTTAAAAAATTTTTTGATCCTGAATTGGAATGAGGAATGCTGTACAGTCTCAGATTGGTAACTGGGAGGCTAGGGTTCAACACCGACGCTGCTGTGAATGCCTGTGTGATCGAGGGCCAGTCATTTAAACTCTCTGAGCCGCAGTTTTCTCATCCATGAAGGGCGATTGGGTGCGGAGTTCTTCACCTGGAGACCATGAAGGGGTGGGCAAAATGTTGTGTGAGTGTGCTTTTTTGGAGGTGGGAGTCCACAGCTTCATCTGACTCCCAGCGAGACCTAGTCCCTTTTCATAGTTACTGAACTCGGGGGCCGCAAAGGTCCTTCGAGGGCCCAACGCTCTCTGTTGTCTCTGTTGTTATCTCAGAGCTCTAAGCTTCAGAGGCCAAGTGCAATATAAAATAAACTCATGCTCTTCTTAGGGCTCAATTCAAATTTTTCACATTGAAGTGGAAGCTGTATGGAGATATCTTAGCATGTGTTTGAGGAGGACCTAACCTGACATGTTGGAAATTGTGCGTTCTTAGTCTTATTTTAATAAGCTCCCACTAACATTCAAATGCAGTCTTTCCTGTCAGAACACTGCTCATTAGCAGCCTTTCCATTTATATTGGGAATTTCTCTGAGTAGAAACGGGCTAAGTCAGATCTCAATTCAAATGCAAGCGGGGCCCATTTGTGCTGGGAGATTTTAAGTCATTTAAGCTCGATGGTGTCATCTTGCAGATTTAATCAAGGATTAATTGGCTGTACAGTGCCTAAAACATCACTCAGTCTAGAGCAGGCATGAAGTAAATATTGACTCTAGAAAATGATCAGATTTTACCCTCCAGAGCTTTAAAATGAAGCTGTCATTAAGGGGAGATATTATCACCTGTGATGTTTCTGTTTTGGCGTCATCCTTTAGTAAGCAAGGTGAGAGTAAGGCAAACGTTTTAGTTTCCTTAACATTCCAAAATGATAGACTCCATTCTGTCATAGGGTCGCCCCCCTGTGTGGACTTCTAACCCAATCAAAGCTCAGGGCAGCACTTAGGGCCTCCTGCAAGGGATGGGGCTGCCCCGAAAACGCTTTAGAAACAGAGTTGATGCACTCTGGAACTAAGTAAAATTTTCTCCCGGTTTCAGACTTACTAATTACTACAGGACTTCCATAATTTAAATGTCCTTCTCAGGTGAGAGGTGGCTGCCCACTTTGTCCAGTTGAGTTACCTTGCCCAGCCACTGAAGTGCTGTCCCTGAGTTTTTGAGTCTATCATGTGGGCAGCTTCAGCAAGAGACGATCCTCCTCCTCCAACACACTTTGGGACCAAAGGTCGCACAGACTGGGACATTCTGGGATGTGGCACCCACGCAGACGCCACCTTGAAGGCCGTTTAGCACCTCCACTGGTGGATGCTGGGATGCCTCCGACAGCATCGCCAGCTGGAGGCAGCATCCCCCCATTGAGGGGAGCTCCTTCGTGGTGGGCAGCTGCCCCTCCTACAGCTGATCCCGTCAAAAGTTCTCTTACAATGAGTTGATATCTGTTTCCCTGGAGCTTCTACTCTTTGGTGTTTATTCTACCCCACAAAGCTCCTCAGAACCTGTCTGTCCTGTGTTTAAAACAAGAACTCTTCAGTCTTTTCTTCTCCTGTTTCTTCGATGGTCTCAGACATAATATGATTTTAATCATTCTTCTCTTAGAGGGAGATGTCCTTGCTCAGAGCTGAAGAGGAAATATCTCCTCCTTTATTCTAAAAACCATATCTTTTGTAATATAACTTCTTTGATTGCAGACTTACAGCCCTCCCAGAAATGGTAAGTCAGAGCCTCTTCAAGTACGATGGACTCGAACTGCAGCCTCTGGTAACTTTAGGAGGAGGCTGCCCTGGTCCAGGAGCGTAGGACCTCAGTGGCACCTCCTCATTCCTGGTCCCTGGTCCCTAGGGAGGCGGGGGCAATGATCTGAGGCCAAAAAACTGTCGCTATTAGTGACTCAGACTGAAGAGATGGGACTGGCATCTGGACCAGCTCCGGTCCCCGAAGGTTTGTTCACAGAGTGCCCCCGCCTTGCTCTGCGTTGGAGATCAGAGACTGGATCCGAAGCTGTCACGGTCCCTGGGTGGGAAGGGATGCTGCACTTCTGGGCAGGGGCCCAGTTGCCAAGAGCCTTGGTCACTGACCTTGGGCCTTGGCGTTTTCCACACATCTCTTAGGATGGAGGCACAGCCACCAGGGATGCAGGCCTTCCCTGCCAGGCTCACCCCAGCCTCTCAGGGCCCCTCTGGTCTTTCCTAAGGGCTGCCACATCTTTGGAAAGGGATTGTGGGTCTGGAAACTACTAGTGGAAAGATACTGTCGCCTTTGGGGAGTAAGAAATAAAAGTTTTAATGGCATCATATCATAGCTTAGTGGGGAGCCCAAGAACTCTCCCAAATTTGTTTGCAGATCTCTTATCCACAGCACTACCTTCTCCTCCCTGAACCCTGGTTTAGGGAAAGGTATTAAGGCCCTAAAAGTAAAGTGATTTTTCCTCTAAGACTACACAGCAGGCTAGCTGCTTTGTGCTGTGCTCATGGCTGGGGCAACAAGGATGAATAGAACACTGACCTACCTTCAAGGTGTTCAAAGCCTAGTAGGGGAGGCAGAACCCAAGCAGGTATTTTACAAGTAATCTATATATATAAATGGATAATATGCCAAGTGTCCCCTCGGGAGTTCGACTGGGAGACCAGGAGTTCGATCACTCTCTATAACGTGTGCTGACCACCAGGGGGGCAGGGCAGAACACGGTGGACAACGGCTGCAGTGGCGGCAGGGCGCTGAGGGAGCAAGGGAAGGAGGAGGCTGGGAGGCGGGGAGCCTGATCGGCCCTGATCTCCGGCCAGGCCTAGGGACCTTACCTGTGCACGCATTTCATGCACCGGGCCTCTAGTACTTCTTACAAAGCCACTCGGCAAAAGCAATGATGGGGAGTGGATTCTCTTGAAGGCAGTGGAGTTCTGAGATCACAGAGCAGGAGAACCCCACCCAGGCCGGCTTTGCGGGGGCGGAGATCTGGGCCGAGTCTGGCTGAACCAGGTGATGGGATGTCATGGGCAGAAGCTGCCAGAGCAAGGGCTGGGAGAAATGGCACAGTGTATGTGTGAGGATGTATGCAGACCTCAGTGTCATGAAGTGACAGGCCCCCTCCAGAAGGGACAGGCAGCTCTTAGAAAGCCTGGCCCTCACGTGGGCCTCTCTGGGCGCGATGGCACCTTCCACAGAGCGTGGGTTTTCCCTCCCACTTAGTGGAGCTGTGTGGTGGTGCTTGCTGCATTCTTCCCTGGCACAGAGGGGCTGCTAACTCAGGGGAACTCCTTCCAGGTCTTCTTCCCCCATTTCTCTTGATGTCGGTCTCACTCACATTATATTTTCTCAATGTTCCCCACCCCAAAGCTCCCACACTTCTCTCTCAAGCCTCAAGCAGGCTGTCTCTCTCTCTCTCTCTCTCTCTCTCTCTCTGTCTCTCTCTCTCTCCCTTTCTGCTCCATTCTGTGTTCCTACCCCCTCCCCCTCCCCAGGGAGCGGTCTTCTCTCCTCTCACCCTGCTCTGGACAACATAGGAGGAGTTTCTCCTCATCATGTGAGCAGAGAGAACCTTTTCTCCCCACATGTAATGCAGGGCCTTATCGGACAGGTCCGGGAGCCTGGACATCAGCTGCGGGCAGGAGTGAGCCCCTGCAGTGCGTGAGAGAGGGGATGGCCTGCCAGCTTGCTGGTCTTGGTAGGAAGGCCTTTAATTAGTGTAGCCAATTGTTTGTGTGTTTGTTGTTCCTTTTTAAAAGAATAGTTTATTGATTTTCAGAGAGAGAGGAAGGGAGAGAGAGAGAAAAATATCGATGTGAAAGTGCAACATGGATCGGCTGCCTCCTGCACGCCCCCCACCAGGAACGGAGCCCGCATCCCGGGCTTGGGCCCCGACCAGGAATCAACCAGCAGCCTCCTGGTGCATGGACGACACCCAACCGACTGAGCCACACCGGCCAGGGCTGCTTGTTTTTTTAGACAAAACAGGACTTCTTTCTTTTCTTTATCTTATAATCACCTGAACCTCCTTATCTTTCTCTTTTATTTTATTCTGAATGGTGGTAAAATACCCGTAACATAACATTTGCCATCTTGACCATTTCTAAGTGTGCAGCTCAGTGACCTTCAGCGCCTTCACATGGTTGGGCAACCGTCACCTCCATCCATCTCCAGAATGTTTTCATGTTCCCACCTGAAACTGGCCCCGTCAAATGAGGACTCCCCATTCTCCCCCCCAAAAAACACCATCCTACTTTCTGTCTCTGTGAATTTGACCACTTGACTCTCCCTTGCAGCATCTTAAGTATAATTTAAGTCATCAGACGTCTCTGTCCACCAACTGTATGCAAGCAGCAGGGGCGGGGGCTCCCTGTCTAAAAGGGGCTCTCGCA